AGGTACGTGAGGAGACCCAGGGTCCGCAGTTCCCCAGACTTGGTCTTGGCGGGGCTGAATGAAAAAGGTAGGCTGCCGGAGAGATGTGACTCCGAGTGGATCCCCAGGTGCTAGGACATGTCAGGAAGGGCCAGGTGAGGCCAAAGGAAGCATCCAACTGGGTGTCATCCAATATCTGGAGGAAGTCAGTTTCCAGACCCCGTGGCACGGAACGTGGAGCTGGGGACCCCTGGGGGGCAGATCCTCTGTCCTCCCCGCTTTACTTCCTACCAAGAAGCCTCAGGCTGGAATGGGAGCAAGACCTCAGAAAGGTGGGCCCTCAGCCGGAAGTTCTGTAGGGCCAAGATCAGAGACTTCCTAGGGGTTTTCCACCTCATTGTCTCCCGGAGGTTCCTGCTCTGGGGGAAGGGCGAGGAAGTGGGACAGCTAGGACCCAGCAGGGATCTGGTGGAGAGAGGAGAGCTGTGTGGCTGACCGGGAGAGGGCCAAGCACCCCCACACCTTGGCCTTGGAGGAAGCTCCAGGCTGACCCTTCCCTCACTCACCTCCTGGAGGCAGGGGTTCCAAACACAAAAGGGGAGATTGAGCTAAACCCAAGGTGGGGTCCCCATCTACCATGGGTGGGTTACCTGATTCACCTGTCCACACTTACCCCTCCCCAGCCCACTTCTTTAGTCTGTCTGCACTGCCCTGTGAGCTTTCTCAGTCTTGGCCACTCAGCGGTATCTGGTTCCCCTTTAGTGGCACCCCAAAGGGATCTCTCAGTTTGGGACTTCCTGTGGATCTCTCCGACTGGGTCTCCATTCGAGGGTTCTCCTTGCTGGGTCTTCTTGGGCTTTTCAGTCTGAGGTCAGCCTTGTGGGGTCTTTCAGTGTGGGCTCTGCCACAGGGTCTGTGAGGGAGGGTCCCTCTCTAGGGTCTCTCGGTTCAGGATCCTCTGGGTGGAAATTTGGTCTCTCCCGAGTTTTATTTTATTCCCTCCCAGTAATTCTGTGTCCTGCTGCTTCTTCACATACAGCGCTTCCCCTGAGAATTTCCAGTCCTGGGCCCTCAGAGACTCCTCCTCAATTGATTTACTGGAGCGATTTGGGTGGGGAAAGGAGGGAGAACAAGACCATAAAAAGTAGGGTCCCGCATTCAGGTCCACGGGCAATGTGGCCCCCGACCCGGCCCAGCTTGCCACTCCTGTGACCCAGGTGTAAGCCATGATTCGGGTCGGCCTGGGTCTCAGCTCTTTGTACTTTCTAGAGCCATCTCTCTCCAGGAACATGAACGCTTGAGTAGGCATGAGGTCACCAGAGCTGGGGACACCCCAGCCAAGGGGGGTCCTCCCACTCCTGGGTCAAACACAGGCAGAGGGGTAGATCAGAGTCAGGCAGACAGCTGGGGAGGGACAGAAGAAACAGAGGAAAACAGTGGGAATGGAGGGGGGACACTGGGTTGGCCCCGGGGCGTCTCTTTCTCTGTCTCCTCACTGTGAGCTGTTTCCTGTCAGGTTTGGGGTAAGTCTCACAGGCTGATACCAGTTACAGCTCGGGAATACCGTTTGGATTTGGAAGATCTCACTGTGAGGGGAAGTGGCTTTCTCTTGAAGAGGAAGTGAGAGAAGTCTACTCCAGGAAAAGAGTTCGAGCCATGAGTAGTTCAGAAGTAGGACGGGTGGGCCCCCTGCTTTCCCTCTGGTAGATGTGCCCCCTTCAGCGAGTGTGTGAGGAAGAAGTCAGGAGGGACCTCCTTCACAGAGATGGATATGGACAGTAGAAGACAGAAGGGTGGGCTCTCTGCTTTCCCGGCATAGCCTGGAACTGGGGGTTCAGGACACTATGGACACTCGGCCTGTAGCCTGGGAGAAATACCGTCCCTTGGACTTGGCTCCTTCAGGCTCACGTGCACACCCCGATTCACAAATGTGTGAAGAGGGGCCATAGGTCATGCCAAGGCACAGGGAGGGCAAGGCCGACGTCTTGCCCCAGCTTCAGGGTGTGGTGGTGCCGGTGAGGCAGATGAGGGTCTTGTGTCTGGTAACTGGGATCCACACGGATCCACGTACAGAGCAGCCGAGCCTCCCCCCAGGGAAGGGAGTGATGGCCAGGAGCCTACTCAGTCGCCTGCCTGCAGAGATAAGAACAGCGGAGAAGGCTAGCCCCACCCCACACCTCTCTCACTCAACCCCCGGCTAGTGCTGTCAGACAGGCATTCGGCTATGGTGGCTTGGGGAGTTTCGGTGTTGGCCCATTTTTAGGCTGAGACCCAAGAGTTCGTCCCACCCATCAGCCTCCTACCCACAAGAACTGGTTCTCAGTATCTTAGCATCCTGTGGGACTTCTGAAGGGCTTCTGTAGATCATCTCAGTCTGCCCCTCCATTCAGGCTCCAATCCCTGTCCAATCCCAAAGCGATGTCGCTCCCTTGTGGGTACATCAAACGAGAAGATGTCCTGGCAGAGTATGGCCCTTTGCTTCCTTCAAAAGTCATTTTTAGACATGATTAGAACTACCTTTTAAGCTAATTTAAAGGATATGTGAGATGACTCTTGGCTATATTTAAAGGCGATGCAGGGAAAGGGTGTCAGAAGGGAGTCTGGGTTACGGGCATGAAATTATGGTTTAGCTCAACAGTTACCCTGCTTAAATGTCAGGAATTGGAAACAGGTTGATTTGAGAATCTGGCCATCAATCCCAGCCTTACTGCCTCTTAAACTCTTACTGTCCCCATGAGCTCCTTCCCTGTGAAGTCAGCATTTGGAGGACGCCTAAGGCTTTCCAGGTAAAGGACAAATTACAATAGCGCCGAGACAGAAAACCAAAGCTATTTCTTGTTATGGGAGAAGGGGGCTAACATAAAGCTGAGGTATCTGTTTAGTTCATTCATTTATCCCATGCTTACTTTGCACCAGGAACTGAGCCAGGCAGTTTTCATTCAGCATTTGGTTTGCTCCTTGAAAGAACTCTAGGAAGGAGCATTATTCCCCCCCCCTTTTTTTTTTACTTGAGAAAACTGAGGTTCAAATAGGTAGCCAGGGTCCCCCAGCTAGTTAACTATAGCACTGGGATTTTAATCCAGGTCTGTCTGCCACCAAAACCAGTGCCCTGAATTCCGTGTGCTACGGAAGCAGGTTAAAAAAAAAAACTCCTGAAAGGGAGGACTTGCCCCCTCCCCTACCTTCCGGGCAGTCTCAGACCTCTTCCTCAGCACCCCTGAAGAACCCCATGGGGGAGTGTGAGCTGAGCAGATCTGTGTTTGGTAATGCCCAGCTCCAGGGGTGGAACGAAGCAAAGCCCACTTCTTTATTGGAGCAGAAGGTGAGCCGCAGCTGAAGCCCTTTGCAGATGCATCCAGGTGACCCACGCTAGTTATTCTGCATATTCACGCACGACAGACCGTACAGAAAGTTTCAAACTGCAGCCGGAAGGACTTACGTTAGGCTCAAGAAATGGCTGTCTAGAGAGGGCCGCGTGGGGCTCCGGGCATTTACCTGGGAGTCATCGCTTTGGCGGGTCTCAAAATATTCCTCAAGTCACGGTGG